TCTCTCTCTCTCTCTCTCTCTCTCTCTCTCTCTCTCTCTCTCTCTCTGTTATTTACTTATTTATTTATTTACATTTATTTATTCATTGTGGCTAAGAGCCTCCATTTCAAACTGGTACATGGATTTTGAAAGATGTGGGCTTCTACCAGACAGGTTAAGTAAGGAAAGATGCTGCAGTGCGGCATTATGGGAAGTGTGGTATCCAGTATTTTCTGAGCTTCACCATACAGACAGAAGTGTTTTTTTTGGGGTTTTTTTACAATGTGGTACAGATCCTTTTTTTAAACGTAAAGCAAAGGCTCCGAGTGCATCCTCCACCAGTGCCGGCAGCCTCCAGAGCAAGCATTACCATTTGAGAGTTTGGCACCGCCGTTGACGTGTTTTGATTCGGCGACACACCTGAGGCTGACGGCTGCACACTGTGATGCGTCGGAGAATTTGTCAGCGTCGTAGGAATCAAAACTGTGTTTTTGGCAGAGAGGTTTCGCAGTGACTTTGCAGTTTCTGAATAACAGAGTTGGGAGTCAAGTCCAAGGTCAGCAAAGTTTTGCTCAAGACAAGTTTAAAAGTTGATTTTAAGCCTCAAGCGCAACCAGAGTGCAAGTTTCACACCCGAGTGCCCAGCTCTGGGAATGCACTGCATATTTGTGTGCTTTTTCTGTGGAAAAAAATACATGATTTCTTTTGGTAACAAATGCTAAAAACATCTGCAGTATATAAAAAAAAAAAAGAGAGACTATAAGCAGGGGATTTCTGGCTGGACTCTAAGGACTCCCAGTTACTGAGGAATCAGATGCTTATAACAAAAACTGAAGCACCACTTTCAAGCTCCTGGTGCATTTCAATGACACGGGATACAGTAGTGCTCCAACAATGTTCCGTCAGTTTTCCCTAAGCATGTCATTTTTAATACTCGGAGGTGGCTCCGACAAAAATAGCTTTCATTTTCCACATCCATTAGTTTAGACTAAACAGCACCTCCAGGTGATGACACAAATACACTTCCTGCCACTTCACCGGGTCTCACATGGACTCGCTCTGATTAGCTGCTGAAATCGTTTGATGTCGCGCGGTGACAAGCGGGGTTGCGGTCCTGTACGGTACGACGCGATACTATACAGTGTTGTCTCAGGAGAACAAAAGAAAGTCTGTTATTTAGGTCCGCATAGGCCGCTGTGTGTTGCGGGGACGAGCGTATAAATATGACACATCCACTGGCTTCCAACGTTCACAAACTACACTTCTCAGCTGTTGCTATTCCATAGAAACATGTTCAACAAGCTAAAAATAGCAATTTGCTATGCGCGTGTGTGAAATGTGCCTCATCACAGATGGCCCGGAGCAATAAACACCAACGACGGGAGGACAGCATTCAGTCAGAACCCCCCCCCTGCTGCATTTTTCCTTGAAATCATGAAATAAACGCGCGACATGAGTAATGGCTCGGCACAAGTAAGAGATGATATCATTGTGTCGGCATGCAGATGAGCGGAGACGGAATGTTTTATTGCGCGCTTCGGAGATGTGGCAAAGACAAATTCGGCCATGTTGGAAGATCAATAACCGGCAATGTGTTTTTTGGAAGATGAGAAACTTGTCTTCTGCTCAAACAGTATTTTGACAGAGTAGACTATGTCCTTTTGGAAGTACAAATATGCAGATATACACACACACACACACTGACACAGACACACACACAGGCACACGCAGAGGAAACGTCATGACTGCTGCCTTAACAGTATTCAGCCATTTCAGCTGGACAGATGGCAATCCTGGAAGTATGACTCTGGAAATGTTTATAGGCCTATTTACAGAACAGTTCCTGTCCTGCCATAGCCTTCATACAACACACTGCTACAATATACATCTTGCAAATGTGAATTACCAGCGACTGAGAGCCATAAAACCTGATGTGCTATGTGGCATGTCAGCGAACATTGGCGAATGTGACAGAGCGCACTGGCTTACATGTGTGTATGGAAGGCGAACAATAATTCAGTGTGAGGAGATGAAAGCAATATGATTTTTTAAACATCGCTTAAAATCTCACTGCGTGTGCCACAGACTTGCTGCCACGGAAATGTTGGCGATAACACGTTCAATCACCGTTTCCCCGCAGCATTTGGGAAAAGATGTCGCCTCAATTTTAGACATAATGGGCGGTTGAAGAGCAGTAACATGGTGTGTATGCTGTCAAAAGACTGAAACAAGATCCCTTCATTCTTTACTTTTCCCAGTTTCTATCACAAAATGGGTTCTCGGGTGTTGTCTGTGTAATACTCACAGTTGAATTGGGAAGACTGGCTGGTGGCTAACATTTCTATATACTAAATTATTGCTGACATTCTGGCAGTTTTGGGCCAATACTGTCTGTCTTACAGATACTGGACTCCTCTCTCCCTTACAACTGGTCAGATTGTATAGAAGTCTATGAGAAAATGACTCTACTTCTTAATGGATTTATTACCTCAGTGAACATTGTAAACATGAGTTTATGGTCTCAATCGCTAGTTTCAAGTCTTCTTCAATACAGCATGATGTTCATTTAGCAAATGATGGTCCATTTAGAGTCAAATAGACCATAAAGCAGGGTATGCTTTAGGGCGGAGCTACCTTGTGATTGACAGGTCGCTACCATGGCATTGTCCAGTCTGGGAGTTGTCTGTGTTTTTGTCTTACAACTTAAACCTTTTCACAGTGAGTTTGCAGCTCATGAAAGTTAATTGTAACCTTTCTGGTGGGCTAAAAAGAAAACATACTTCGCACCAACCTCTTGTGTCACTTCGGGTTGAAAAAACCAAGATGGCGAACTCTAGTCTTCCTGTGCGTTCCAATTCACATACTACTAATACTAAGCATTTTTTACTATGTCCCAATACATAGTATGTCAAATGCAGTGTGCCAAAAATATCGGGATGCATGCATCCGTTCGCATTTAGCAGTGTGCAAACCAGCATGCCTTTCTGGCTTTTCTGACCCACAATCCTTTGCACAGCAGAGCAAGAGGGTCAAAGTGCAAGGTGCAATGTTATGAGGATGTTGTATGTCCCACATGAATGCAGACATGCAACAGTACGTACTTAGTCAGGGCAGCTGGAGTAACAGTGACTTCTCATATACAGTCAATGTGTACACAAACGAAAACATACCGACACATTCACGCAGGTGCATGCACACATGGACCTGAATAATTAATAATCTGCGGTCGCACACTTAGACGGGCGTTCACACATTAAACAAACATATGCGCGCACATTTGTGTTGGCAGCACTGTAATTAGTCCGTGCTCGCTTTTTGGAAGACACACTGAAAAGAGAGAGAGAGAGAGAAAGCAGCGGGGAGGAGGAGACGGGGCAGAAGGGGGAGTTATAGGGAAAGGGAGTGATAAATGATGGATTGAGAGAGCTCCAGCTAGACCCCGAGGTTACCAGTGTGAGGGAGTTACAGCTATCTAGCTCATTCCGTGGAGCTACAGATCTCATAATAAACATCACATGGGTAGTTTGGGCTGCCGGCTGCAGATTAAGCCAGAGCTGTTAGCTCTTTAAAGACTGCTCAATGCTGCAGCCAGCCAAGAACCTATTTATAGGGCGGCTGGAAGTGTATCAAAGCAGGTAGGAAGGGGAAGGCACCGGACAGGTGCCGTTTCCGAGCTGATTTATGTCCCTCAATCAGTGTAATAACAATAAACTGTCAACTAACATGCCACTTTTATTTGTAATTTATGGCACTGCTCTCCTAATAAAGCTTTGTTTATTTCTCCCCCCTGCCCCACCCTATCCCCGCCTCCTCCCCTCTGCTCCTCTCCGTCTCTCCGGTGCAGAGCTGCCCAGCAGTCCAGGTGGTCAGTTCACGTTCCGCCCGCTGCCCCCGCCTCCCCCGCCGCCGCACGCCTGCACCTGTGCCCGCCCGGCGCCCTACACCCAGGTCAGCCTGCAGAGGAAGACCATGCCGACGCGGTGCCAGGCCAGCCAGGGCGGCCAGGGGCCAGACACAGGCTCGAGCACAGACCAGGCACAGCTTCACAACAGCTGGGTGCTCAACAGCAACATTCCCCTCGAGACCAGGTAAGAAAATGCAGCAAATGTGCCTCCAAGGTTGTTTTTCACAATGGCCATTTATTTTTTTATTCAAACAAATGCACAAAAAGAGTTAATTTGGAACAAATAGTGAGGCTTCGTTCCAAAGATGCTTTCAGTCCAAAAGCGGTGGATATGTCATTTTGCAACAGCAACCCGCCAACTGAAAACATCCTCAAGGCAACCCGCCCCAATTCAACATCATGTCACTCTATTAAAGACATTCCTTTAATCTCACAAATGAGGCTCATTAGATTAGAGAACATGAGTTTGTCAGGAGTGTGGGTTAGTACACTCTCACAATTTCTTTAAAAATAAGAAAGAAAAAAAAGTCAGAGTGATTAAGAATGAATGTTGGACTAACGGATTTGTTAGGAAAGGACATGTTGTGCACTCGTACAGAGCAGTAAGTGGAACGCCACGCGGGCCTCTGGGGTATTATTACAGGACTTTGCGCACCATCAAAGTCGTAACGAATCTGCAGATCTTTTTGGCTCCTCATCATTTCCTTACCACCCACCGTCGACAGATTCACCAGGGGACCGGTGCCTCACAGTCTCTACTACCTAAAATAAAAGTGTATGTCAGTGCCGAGTAGCAATCCACTTTTCAGGAACACATTGTGATTCCACTCCTGATTGTACCGCCTGAGAATCCTTTTTTTTTTTTAATTTCCCAAATGCTTGGAGACGAGCCGCTGGAATTTCGTCCCATCAAACAGAATTAAGCATTCGCTCGCTGCATAAGTTATGGTTGATCAGAGAATTATTTAGGAGATCCTCATTTGTGAGGCTGCTTCGGAGAAGGAGCAGCAAGGTGCGAAAGAATACGTTTGCATGTTTGATGAGGGCTCGGTGCGGCAGCTGAGTCCTGGTGTTATGAGCGAGGATGAGATTGGCAGGCTGCCACACCAGAGGAAGAGGCTTTAATATGTTATGCATTAGGCCGTAATTAGATCTTACCTCATTTAAAGGAAGGGAAGAATAAAATTAGATTCAGTGACAATTTCAATTAATCATTAGCCAGCCATGACTATCAATGTCACAACTGCGTTGTGATTACAGTACTTGTGAAAATCCACCGTAAATATGATTCACGCTTTCTTTCTTTTTTTTGTGAGTGAGTTACAAGTCGTTCAGGCGATATTTGCCGCTCATGAAGAAGTCTCTCCCGAAGAGAGATGTGATTACAAAACACAATTTCCGCAGCGTCTCGGCATATTGGACGGTGCCTTCTTGTCTTGATACATTTTTCGCATTTGGGAATTTTTTAGTCAAATAAGTTTCATTTGATAGTGCGCTATTAGTTCTGAAACATAAAATGTAATCATCTGCACAGTCAATAGAATAGTGCCCCCTCATAACATAATTCAGATGTTATTAGCTCTTTTCTATCTCGCTTTTGGCGGTGGGGAAGACAAAGTCCTCGCTGCTTAACTGTTTGGGGTTGGATTTAATATTCAAGCACCCTCCTCTCTCTCTCTCTCTCTCTCTCTCTCTCTCTCTCTCTCTCTCTCTCTCATCTGTCACACTGCTAATCTAATGATTTCATATTTTTGCTCTCACCCTGACGCTGCCCGCTATCGGGCTCAATCTCAGGCGCGGGATTAAAGATTTATCAAGTATTTACAAAGTTGACATGGGGGCTCATGCTGACGGAATTAGAAGCGATGCCGTGACCTTAAACAAAAAATTGTTCAGTATCTCCTGCTGGCAAGTACACTTCCATATTCCTCGACGCGCCGGTTGACGAATCGGTATTGAAACGTATTGACGTTGTGTCAGCGGAGATTAAGATTGTTTGAAGTGCGCATAGATTTACTTCTCAGACTTGCATCCGTTATGTTTCCGGAGAGGCCGCGCTCGTGTAAGTGGAAGGCCGCAGATATGGGTGTTCGATATATCTGACTGGGTCTCATGCTGGGTGTGTTAAGAGGCATAACACATGTTGGGACTGTAATAAATTGACTGACGCCCTGCCTTCCCCCCCCCCCCCCCCTTCTATCTGTGAGAAATGTGGGACTACTTTGAATCACATGCTGTGCATGTGCAGCCACGCAACGAAAACTTTCATACAAGTGCATCTGCCTGTGCTGCATGCACGTAGACCTCCACACACACACACACACACACACACACACGCAGTCATCCGCACACATCCAGGTAGAGACAGCCCTTGGGCCGCAGACACCCACCTCCTGGAGAGGGGAGAACTCTCATTTTCTTGTCGTCTCGGGGGAAATCTGCCCTCTGATATGAATTCAGAGCTTCCTGGGCGTCGCCCCTGGATATTGTCTGAGGAGATCAAAGGCAGGCAGCTGGGGAAGAACAGTGAAGCGTTATTTTTTTATTTTTTTAAAGCGCCGCACAAGAAGAATAGAGTTCCACTGCTCGTTGACAAATGCAATTTCTTCAGCCGGATTGTGATCCCTTTTGCTCTGATCCACCTTCAGCAGAGCAATAAAGAGCATCGCAGTGGGAGCCGACCTGTGCGCCGGTGTCTAAAATGTGAGAACGCTCACCCGCGTTTGACATCTTTTTGTGTATGCTCGTCTTGTGGGGTGGGGGGCATCTCGGAACCGAGCTTTGTCTCTCTATATGTGTGTGTGTGTTTGTGCGTGTGTGTTTGTCCTAAATTTGTTTTGGCCTTTCAGAGTTGAACTGCCTTTAACCCTCAGGTGTTGCTCCATGTGCAGCCTCCTGTGTCCCCCATCTGACTCACAGCTTTCGGCCGATGCTGGATGGAGACAGGACGGGGGGGGGGGGGGCGCAGACAGTGAAGGATGGATGTCATCTGACTCTCTCTTTAAACTCAGACACAGTTCCATGGAAAAAGAGAAACACGGAGAAAGACAGGGGCTAAAGATGAACAAAAAGAGAGAATTTGAATTAATAAGCAAATTAAAATATCCATCTTACCCCAAATTACGTCCATTATTGAGACCTAAAAAATAAATATTTGAGTTAAAAATATCTGTCAATATGTTGAGTTGCTTTTAACGAATGCTTTTTATTTTTCCTCTTTTTTGTGCTTTATAATCTTGCTCTAATGTATGTTTTCTTTCTTAAAGTGCTTTAAAGTGCTTCTGTGTTGAAAAGTGCTACAGAAATAACCTTGTCTGGCCTCGCCTTGAGGTTATTTCACCATGCTTTCCTATGCTAATGAGTCAATCATTTTCTTGTGATTTGCATGACACAAGCGCTATGATCGGCTTTATTGTGACGTGCATCATGATACTGAAAACTCGTTTCCGGAACATTCTCGAAACACTCCCCCCAGAATTTGTCTCTTTGTCTTTTAAGAAGAATCCATCCTCCAGGCTGAATGACACAGGAAGATGGATGTGTTTTTGCTGTGCATGAGGGCAAACGGATGACGCGGTCTTGTGTCCGGCGTCGCTGCATGTCAGTCTGCTGTCTGGCCCTGCTTTAATGGCCTGTCCTCCGAGGGCCCTTCAGAGACCGCGGTCCCACCAGCAAGCCTGTGACCTCACACCCTTCGCAGCGCGGATGGAATAACACTCTGGCGAGCTGCGCGTCTGCCCCGACATATCGCACTCGCAGCCGGTATTAACACCCTCAGAGAGCACACGGTAACCTGGGGGCAATCATTGCTTGTCTGGGAATTCCAGGAGCTCCGGGATATATATATATATATATTTTGTTATAAAAAATACACGCACACACACTGCAGAGGGTAAAAAAATAAACCAATGAATCATACCTGCTTTTTTTTTTGATGCTTCGCCAACACAGCCTTTGTTTCCCCCACACCATCAGTCTTTGGTCCTTTCTTTGATGGAAGTCAATGTGGCCAGAACAAGCTGAGACTGCTTATAATTGGCGGCCCAGACTGTTATTTTCCAAATTGCCTCATTTCCCAAACCCACGAATATTTCTGCTTCCTCGTCTGACACCGTCCAACCCTCGTCCTCCATTATCCGAACGCAATATAGATGAAATGCTACCTAGACTAATTGCCCTTCAGCTTACTTTCCTATCATCATCCGCCATCTAGCGCGCTCTTTTTCATAATGAAAACGAGGCTCGTCTCCGTTTAACTAATACGGCCGTATAACTTAAGTAGTCGCTTTGATGAGTCAAAAAAGGAATAGGTAAGTCATTGATCCTCGGCTGCCAGGGCTTCTCCATTCTCTTTGATATCAGTGCTGCTCTGCATCACAGTAGCTGCTCATCATGTTGCATGATGAGAGGCACAAATTTGGGCTTCGTCTCTGATGAGGGACTTGGACTGAATGAGATGCTTATCATCTCATATTCTGCGGCTGATACATTATCTATATAGCGTGCTGTGGGGTGTATTACGTAGATTGTTTTCTATAACGTCCGCTCTTTAAAATTGTCACATGCTCACCTCGAAGAAACAAATTTGTGGTGGGACATGATCTAAATTGCAAGTAAAGTCATAGCGCTTTGGGATTTCCTTAGACTACTTTTCTTCCTCAATTTTAGCTTTCGGGATTAATCTTTAATGATGCATCGCCTGCGAGTTTTAAGAGACCACTTAAATTAAAAGCACACAAATGCGGCCAAACATGTGGGATATGAAGGGCTTAGTTTGGGACAGCGCTGAGAGCTTTTTTCTCAACAGGTGAGGTTAGAGAGGGCTGTATCTACCATGGCAGTGGTAAAGTAGAGCAGTCCGTCCTGTGTGTCATATTTGAATCCTTAGCCAGCCTCTATGTGTCATTTAGAAAAAGAGGGGGTCTCCTCTAAAATCTCACCACCTTGGGGGCCCGTTAAATGAGTTTCAGTCAGGCGTACTTCAGAGCGAGGCTGAACTCCGCTGAGTGCAGATTATTATAAATAGAAGCAGAATAAGATGCCAGATAACTCAAGTAAGATGATGTCCGTGCTAAGCTAATTGGTGAAGGATTAAAGCGCTGTCCTACGATAAGATATTGTTTCCAAATTCACTATATCATCTACTTAATGAGACAAAAACAGTGGTCCCAGAGGTGGCAGGTAGTTTGTGTGGACGCACTGTGTGCTGGGGCTCCGTCTCCTTAAGAATAGGACCGACATTAATCGTCCTTTTACTCAACTGCTCCAAATAGTAACAATTATAGCTTACCAACTATAACTTCCAGCATGGAAAGAGTATGGAGGGTGGTGTAATGGCCGGAGGTTCTCTGTCTGTCCATCCGTAATATCTCAGGGACGCCTTAAGCTAAATTCTTCAAATTTGGCACCAACGTCTACTTGGAATCAAGAATGAACTGATTAGAATTTGGTGGTCAAAGGTCACTGTGAACTCGCGAAACACATTTTTTTGGTCGTAACTACAGAATTCGTGTGCTAAGTAACTGTCAAACAGGATAAAATGATCAAGTGTTGACATTTTGGGCAAACATTGGATGTAACCTGCAAGATGACTGGTTGGTACATGAAAAACCATAAAGGGTTTTCTGGCCTTTCCAAAGGAGACAAAATGTATGAAATGGATTAAACAGTGTGTTTGTATCAGCTCTAATGTCAGCTGCAATCATTAGCATGCCCAGCTAACAAGTAGCCCAACACTGTTACTCCCCAAGGCCAAGGAGCACATCATCAAGTAACTGCATTAGTTTGTGTAGTTACAGGTTCTAGCAGACGGTTCAGGGCTTAGGTTAGCGTTATAGCAGCTCTGTCCTGTCCTGCTCTTTATTGGATTTGGGGAAGTTTACACTCCAGCAACCCCAGCCATCATCATCTGAGCCTTTTCTCTTGTAGCAGTAAAAGTGAAATCATATTTTTAACAAGTAAGCTAAACAGCCAGACAGGAAGCTAAATGAACTATAGCTAGACCGTTGTCTTTTCAAATGAATAAACGTAAACATTGTAGGCTGCAACTCTGCCGTGAGGGCTGGGAGATGGGGTTAACGGAAGCGCTAGTCCGCTTACTCTATGTGCTCCATGGATGCGAAAGATCAACAGAAGATCCGGACGATTCTATCTGAATTGTTCTTACTCGGAAGTCAAACTCTTTTTTGCTCAATGCACCACTGAGCAACTTCCAAAGGAATGAACGGGGCGCCGCCTCCAACCCTGTGCCCGCTTTCTTTTTTTTTAAGCGTCCCCGTGCTTGTGGCCGTCAAACTTTCCAACTCCTCCAGAGTCAACAGACTTGGACTTATTTCACCCCTGTCAGCAGCTATAACCCCATTATTCATGTATTCATATCTAAATTGTGCAATACTGACTTAACTGTATATATCATTCAACTGTGCAATACTCTGGCGTTAATACTGCATTTATACTGTATAATTTAAGTAATATTCATATTCATACCATTCCTGCATTTTAAACCCTTAATCATAGATCCCACTGACAGCATTAATATTGTTAACACTACTGTTTTACAGACATGTTTTCACATATTTTCTATTTCAATTTTTAAATTTATTGTTGTTAGTATATTGTAGTACAATGCACACATTTTAAATACTTATTTCTATTTTCCTTATGACTTTGTTTGTATGTAGCCCCCCTGGGACCAATAAAGTGTTTCTGATATGATTTACAGTCATAGCAGCAGCAACTTAAGGAGGAGGAGATCATCGAACGGTCAATGAATGAATTCCTTCTTTGTGTTTCTCCCGCAGACACTTCCTGTTCAAGCAGGGCTCTGGGTCATCGGCTCTCCTGTCAGGGGCGGGGCAGGGTTACCCTCTGACCTCCGGGACAGTGTACTCCCCTCCGCCCCGGCCTCTCCCGCGGAGCAGCGTGACCAGACCGCTGTTTACCTTCAACAAGCCTCACCGCTGCTGCAACTGGAAGTGCACGGCCCTGTCCGCGTCGCTCCTCACTCTCACCCTGGCCCTGCTGCTCACCTACGTCATCGGTGAGTCCCGGCACGCGTTAAACCACCGAGCACGCCGTCGTGCATAGCTGCGCAGGAAGATTTGCTTTTTGTTTGCTCTGATTTTTTTTTTTTTTAAATCTACATTTTCAAAAAAGATGGCTACAGAGGGGCAGTGGAGGATTGTCAAGACACTGCCTAATTAATTAGAAAAGAATCAATAGAAACAAATAGGGATCTTTACACACATGCAATGTTGCAGGTTTCAAAGGGTAAAAAAACTACAGGAACATAAAAAAAGAAGAAAAAAAACACAGTAGAGGAGAGGAGATCGATAGGGATCAAAGCGGGACTTCTGAAAATGTACTACTACTACTTACTCTGAAGGAGTTGGCTTTAAACACAGCAGGCTATGTATTCTAAATGTGATCCTCTGTAGAATAGTCTGAATTGTAAATTAGCTATCCTGGACTAAAGCGCACAAAACTGGCCTTTACTCCGTGATGAATGCACACATCCAGGAAGTACTAACTCATTCATTGTTTTTCTGTCCAGCTCACACACCCACGATTACACACACCTTAGTACTTTTCTACCTTTTTTTTTTTCCAGCCTTTTTCCAGCCTTGTTATTTATGAATCTATCCAATTCATGACCTTATTGTCCGTGCGCTTTTTTTAATGTTTATTTTTACTTGTTTCTTAAATATTTACCTTTATCTTATTTGATCACAATTCACATTAGTAGCAGTGTAAAGGGTGGTGAACACTTCCTCCACCACTGACTATTACAGTTATGCAGATTTTAGGAGTCATACTAATTTAGTAACTCATTTGCATCTTTAAAATTCAAGAAAGTTCCAGGGGTTGTTCTGCAGTCTGGAAGATCGCCTGCAGAGTTTGTCAAAGTCAAATACCCGATTCATTCATCGATCCCCTACGATTGCAACCGACTCCCTCTTCATCGTCAACCTTGGCCCGGCCCTCCACCCTCCGGCACATCGCCTACCCTCCTCCAGCCAGATATCCCAACCCTCCGCCCGGGCCGGTTCATTCCCCTCCTATGGCGGCGCTCAAGGTCACGGCGGAGCAGGCGGGGGGGGGGTTCGCATTAATCACACACGGGCACACATCACAGACAGACATCAGGCACGCACACCGGCGAATCCATGCAGATTAATCCCCAGGCCGAACCCGCGCTATTCCATTAATGTCCCGGCCCCGGTAATTAGTGCATTAGTGAGGAGCGTGAGCGATGACTCGGAGACGACACCACCTTTTAATTGGTGTCATGCTCCACTCCTGCTTGGCAATGATCGATCTCCGTGTTGACATCGCCACGGCAACCGCGCCCAAGACGTATGGGATGTACCAGCGCAGATGATAAGTTGGCCCTGTACATCAAAGATGTCCAAATAGCAAGATTAAAGTGGTCGTGGACTTAATGTCTGTGTCTAGGGGGGACAGGTTGAGACACAGGCCACCAGATGATTAGGTTCCCTCATTACATAACGACTCAGTCATCGTAAAGGATTCATTAACAGCCACTCACGGGATGAGAAGAAGAAGAACAATCATTATCCCCCAGTAGTTTTGCTCTTTTTCATCTTCATCAAACAACAGCCGTGCTGATTTTTATTGATTTTGAGTCGGTCTCTCATTAAATCAGGTTGTTATTGAATATTAATTCTCATCATCATAGTCATTATAATAAGAAACTGAATTAATTGTCTCATTCGAGCAGTATTAAAAAATATGATAATGAATCATCTTTTATTCCGAATATAATCAGCTCCTGCTGGTTATTCTTGTTAATTGGGACATATTTAATATTATTTCCCCACTGAACAAGTTTCTCAGCAAATAACAATACATGTATCTTGCTTATTACATTTATTATTCATGTATCTGTCATTTTTTTAATGTATAAGACCAACCTTGTGCAAGCAGAGCTCAAACCATCGCTTAATGACTTGATTTGACCGTCAACACAATTAAAATTTTCAGGCTCAAATACAAAATATTCCTTTTTTTCAGCTCCTCAGTTATGACGATTTGCTACTTTTCTTTGTCGTGTGTCATATTAAAGTAAATATCTTCAGGGTTTTGGAGTGTTGGTCGGACATAATAGCAATATGACTGCATTATCTTACATTTAAAGACCAAATGATTAATGGATTCATCGAAAAACAATGATAGCTAGATTGACAGATAACAAAAAAAAGTGGCTCGTATTTTCATGAACAGCCACAACTTGTAAGTAGGTAACTTTTAGTGTGTGTTATCTGTGAGCCGTGATACTGCAGAGGCCTCTTCCTGAATTAAGACATTTGCAACACACACAAAAAAAAGACATATTCCTTTACAGTCGTGCCAAGCTGCAGCCCGACGTTTGAGAATGCCGGAGATGCTTCTCCTCCTCGGAGAAAATCACGATGGAGCAGCTGTTACATTTGGCTGAGTCTTCATCTTCTTCTCATGACGCTCAGCCAAACTTCACACTTCTCGCCTCGCTCGTCCGTGGCTCAGTGTGTAGCGCGTGGAGGTGCGCCGTGACCGGTATGGTGGAACAGCGAGGTTCATAGTTCAACAAACAAAATCTGACTTTGATGATTTGCAGCAAAAAAAAAATATTGTTCTTGACAGTTCGGGATCCACCCTCGGAATCACTGCCAGTCCTTTAAGCTCTTTGTGTAAGTTACGGGTTTTACTAACTTGTTGGAAAAGTAACCCGGCAAACGATGAAGCAATAATATGATGTCTCAAATTAAGGTTTCCAATTAGCACAATAATAGGAGGATGCGTGATTGCGGAGATAATGCTGTGCCTAAGTGATTGCAGTGCACTGTATGCCCCCTGTTGTGATTAGCTAAGGCAGGCCTCCTCTCTGTCTTTACTGCCCTCTTTCCTCTCCTCCCATACCCACCCCCCCCTCCCGGTGCTGCGGGGCCTGCATATAGCTTTGTTAATTTGTTTATCTCCCAACGTACCCCTCCCTCCTGCAGTCGCGACTTGTTATTAAGCACAACACGGCCATCAGATATGAGCAGCAGGCATTATGGTAGCGAACGGGGCATTTAAGGAGAGATAGAGGACAGATTAAGATTGCATCTGTAATCTTGAAGAATATTGCTACTGACAGTAACTCATTTTACTATTCTAAGCCTCGTTTGAGTTCTGCTTCCGTAAAAAAACAAAACAAAAAAAACCCGACCTGCCTACTATTGCTCTATCATGTAGTCAAAAAAAAAAAGAAGAAGAAGCTAATTAGAGTATTTTCTGCATTAATGAATGTCTTGCTGTTTTAAACAGTTACAACCCTGGGTTGTTGAGTCAAATATGAGGAGAGGGCGGAACGTGTTAGTTATGAAAGATAATCATCTCTATGGCAACAGGCAGAAGCCTCTGATGCATTGAAATGAGCGAGTCAAAAGCACCCCGCAATCAAATAATCACCTCCAAATCTCATTTCACTTGCACACACACAGCGACACATTGCACCCTCTTTATTTTTTGAAATATTTATTTTTTTGCAACAACAAAGACACCGGAGTGGCATACAGATATGAAGGTAGGGGCGGATTCAAGTTAATGGCATCTACAGTATGTAATATTGAACTAGAGAGAGTAACTGTGGGGGGAAGTGTGGACAGCGTACACTTTAAGCTGAGATCTTCTTTATAGTTCTGTTGTGCAATACGTGCTGCTTCAGGGGTCCTGGCGGTTCCATAAAGAACCAAATGAGTCGTTAGTGGCTTTAAGTTCATTACTTTCACGCTATTTCTTTCAGTAAATCTGCTCTCACAGTTTGATGGCAATTCAAAGCATCTGCCTTAAAAGTTAGCCATTATTCACAGGGGGTCAAATCGAGTACACTCTGCGAAAGTGTGTGTGTGTGTGTGTGTGTGTGTGTGTGTGTGTGTGTGTGTGTGTGTGTGTGTGTTTGTGGCGTCTGTGCGTTCATTAGAGCTGCAATAATGATCGTTTCCATTACCAATAAATCCTAACCCGATTGTTTTGGTTCCTCGGAGCCTGAGGTGACGCCTTCAAATGTCTTGTTGTGTTCAACAAACAGTCAAAAGGATATTTAGTTCACAACAATATCAGAGAAAACAGCACATTGGAAGCTGCCGCAGCAAATGTTTGGCTTTTATTGCCTGCAGAATTACACAAATTATTCACTGATTATCAAAATAATTGTATTTATTTTCCGTCAACCCCACTAATTGATGAAGTAGGCACTTGTATCAGTTTGAATGTTTATGTAGGTAGCCTAGAATAATCCTGAAACGGTTTTATCCACTAGTGAATTGGCACAGATTCATTGATCCATGAACAATATGAGCAATTTTGATCGATTGACAATGTAAGTAATTTATAAATCAAAAAAGAAATTCTGCTTTCAGATTTTTAAATGTGATAATTTACTGTTTTATGTCATTCTAAATGTAACAGTCTTTGGTTGGACAAAACCAGCAAAGTTGAAGATTTGAAGAAGGATTTTCTTTATATTTGATCAATCAATTAATCATCAAACTGATTAATTAAGAATTTGAAATACCAGACTATGTGCTCGGTGGCTGGAAGTGAATAGCAGTACTTAAGTCTCTCCCTCTTGATCTGGATTTCTCCTCCAAATGTCCTCTCCAGCCTGGTCTGTCTCAAGGCACCGCGCTGATTATAGCTTATAATGAATTAAGTGCTCGTTCTTTTCTATGGTGTTGACCACCCTGGATAACAAGTTGAAAAATTACAACTGGGATCTCAGTAGCACATTATGCCAACGATACATTACGGCAAGAAGACATTTACGCCGACACGCGCTCACATTTAAAAACAATATGTATGACGTTAAGGATCTGTGGAGACCTTGGAGCATTATTATTAGACATGATTCTTTCTTTATTTTCATTTTAGCCCTTTACATCACAGAAACACTGAGAGACAACCACAACCACTGCACTACGTAAGGCCTCATCTAAGTCCGTGCTCATAGACAATTAACCACAACATCCAGACAGAAAGGTCACCCCCAAAATGCTA